AAAACTTTTTAAATAAATAAATTTTTTTAAATAATAATATCAAAAAAGCATATTTGTAAACAGTTATCTCTCTTGAAAAATAAATACACTAAACGTAAAGAAAATTCGTAATTGGAAACATGAAGTTGAATTGAATTTGCCTGATATGATCTTCCAGCAAAAATAGTTTCCGCGCTTATATGCTATTGGGTTTATTGCCGTTAGTTACCATAATCGCGGACACTTTCTCGTCTCGACGATACGTAGGCAGTTATTTCGAAACGAGAAATATTTCTCGCACACAGTCAAGTATTCCCATAATAAAATATAGGTTGTTTATGAATTCCGCTTATTCGACTAAAATCACAGAACAATATTAGATTGCTGTGTATAAAGTGTTTTTGTATACTTTCGTAAACAGATTATAAAATGTTACATATATACACACGCAAAACAACAATATATACAAATGCATATATATAACATATATTTAAAGACTATATTTAAAGATTTGATGCCTAAACATTTTTGTTAAAAGAAGATTTATTTTAAATTTAAAAAAAGATTACAAATAAACATCGAAATAGCATTCTATATAAATATATATGATCGATATAATCAAAACATGCTATATAATCTGCACAGTGCAAAACAGAAAAAAATAATAAGAAAAAAAGGCCTGTTGAGAACTGATTACTTGAGCAATTCCTCGCGCCAGGCTGTTTCGCCGGAAGTCGTCGCTTTGATGATCATCATTGACACTTGCGACATCGTCCGTCGTAATTCCGATAGCTTACTCTTTTCACCCAAATGACGGATTCTGTCAACATCCGACGCGCGTCGTCGTCCCAACTTTGACACTTCCATTTTTCGCGATCAGCGCAAGATCATTTTATCCATTTGAAGTTATTTAAGATCACACGCATATAGGTTTTTCATATTGTAAAAATAAACAGCAATTCATTCATATTCGACGCGAATTTATCATGTGTATTTTATACTAATCGATGAAATAAAAATTTATTATAATTTATACACAAATATATATAACTATACAAAATATAATAATATAATTTATATATATACAAAAATTAAAATTTATTTTATTATTAAGCTCGTTTTATAATAATAATGTTCATTACAACACGCAATATTATTAAAATTTTAATTTAATTTGCGAAGCCAAATTTTCTTCATCAAAAATGTCGAAGCATCAATTCTGAATTAATAATAAAAACAGAATAAAAATAAATACATAAAAGAATTTTATGCAAATTAAATTTCAGAGAAGACAAATAGATGACGAAATCATATATTGTTCATTTAATTTTAAGTAGACTGTAAAAACATTTTTATTTTTTTCTTTTTTTTTATTTTAAGCACTTTAAAAAAAAATTCTGTGAGAGGTATTTCTAGATATATATATATATATATAGGGTATATATTACAGTACAAATGCACACTTGGTCGCACTTCATACAGTAACGATGTACGCGAAACATCTATATTTTCGATTTAATTGATTTTTTATTATTTCTTCGCAATTTTACAACTAAATTGATCACCGTAAATAGACACAGATTAATTAGGATTACTCGTTAAAGAACCAAGGTTGGCTGAACACTGCAAATGTAATGTCGGCTCTTGGCCGACAGAATGGTTTCTCTTTGTCTTTGGCACGATCAACTAAAATCGTTGAACTATCGCGAAGAGGGGAGTTATCAATAACGTTAAACTTTTTCTATTAAATAATATAATATTTTTAAAAAGTAATATTATTTTGATGATATATACAATCGAAAAATCTATAAAAATAACAGAAATATTAAATCTAGCAAAACACACACACACACATACGCGCGCGCACACGCACACGCACATGATAATTTTACTTTGACATAATGCAATAATGTACTCCGAACTTGATAACAAAGTCGAATTCATAATGTATGTATATATAATCTTTTTTGCTGGAAAATATCTCTCTAGAATATACTATGACACACACACACACACACACACACACACACACACACACACACGAATGCATACATATATAGCTTCAATAGTGCATTCTAGAAGTATTTTTTTTCTAGCAAAAAAAAATAACATACATGCGCGCGTGTTATGGCCTGTGTATACAGAGAGTATTCTGCAAAGAAACTGACAAGCTCCTTCACCTAAATATTTATACATAACTTTCTGTTTTCTTTGCATTATATTTTCTCAAAATTTCTATTTGCCATTTCTTTTAAAAATAATAATACTAAATCTTTTTATTTTTAATTTTTTTTTTTTACTAAAAATGTATGCAAAATTTATGTATGTAGAAGATGTATGTATTTTTACAGTATACTTATTGCTTTTAAACAATATGTTTTGTTGAATAAAATAATATTCAAAAGCTCTTATTGTCTAAACCAATCTATTTCCGAAATAAGGGTTCTATTTTGATCGAGAAAAAGAAATATTTCCGGTAATCATAGGTGGAATAAAATAGCACCTGGTGCGCCGCTATTTTTGGAATCTCATAAAAGCGCGTATTGTGATCCCAATTTTATATCGTCCTACCTATTTTAGGATGATGCTGTTAGGAAATACGTAACGTCGAGCGCATAATTGTTTAACAAACACTCAAATTTACCGTTATATAAAGTTGTTCGATTTTAATTCGTTAGATATCAACATCTTGAGTCTTTCTTATATATTTCAATACTTTATAAGTTTCTTGATAACTATTTTATCTAATTTATGCTTTTTTGATAATCTTGATAAGATGTATATTATTGTTTTCATTGTAGAAAATTGCCTTAACAGACAAACGCAGTTTAAACGATTAGCGCGATGACATTCTCACGACGGTACCGTACGCGGAAACGATAAGCTTTTTCCTATCGGTATTAGCTTATGCAATGCATGCATATTTGCACAAGGCTATGACTATTACTGTGAAGACGTGATATTAATATTGATAAAGTCATTTATGCTTAATTAAGAGCGAAATTATGTTAGTCCTACAAATATTATATGAATAGAATTTTTATATACTTTGTAATGTTATTTTATAAGAAATATATTTTTTAATAATATTTTTTATTTGTATATTAAAATTGCGAGATACTTAAATAAAATAATACAT